GCCCTCTGCCATGTGCCACCTGCCTTGAAGCCAGCCAAGTATGGACTGAAACCTCCACAAACTGTGAGCTAAATAAACCTTTCCTTCTTTAACATTGGGTGTCAGGTATTTTGTCCTAGCAACGAGAGAAAAGTAACTAAGACAGATGGGGACCAGCCAATCATAGGCCCACAAAAAGTAACTGGAAACCAAGAAACTCTTTTCCATCCCATAAAGTACCCTTTTGACAAATGACCTGTTTCTGAAAAAGATTTGTACTTACCATTTCCACTGAGCAAAGATTTCCAGTGGAGAGCTCTGAATCACCCTATCTGCAAAGAATAAAGGCAAGCTTCCAGAGAGAAAATGTCATAAATTAAACAGCCACTAGTCTTGAAAGCATTAAAAATAGTGTGTCACCTGCTCCTAACTTTGTTCTTGGTTACAAAGGCCATTGTTTGAGTGAACAAAGAGGGTAAGGAATCTGGAGAGAACTGTTTACTCAGAGAAGCTGGTAAGGGCACAGACTGAAGCAGACCTGCATGTGAATGAGGAAGGGGATGGGCAACTCCAAGCACAAGCAAAAGACAGTCCAACTGAGGCTCAAAATTCCAAACGGAAAGAAAGCCAATTTCCAGCAGAGGCTCTCGATATGTCCAGAACACCCTGAAAATGACTTTGCGTCTCAATTAAAGTCATTTCCTAGCTGATCAGTCAGAAATTCAATTCTGAGAATAGACTGATGTTAACTTAGGAGAGGAGGACTTTAAGGGTCTCTGATTTCCCCCAGCAGACAGTCCCAGTCCACCCTTCTCTATGCTGCTTCCTACGCTGCCCAGAGTAACACTGGTCTTTGGCAAACACTGACTACACACAGATTGTGGCAATTCTAGTTTACAGAAATTCCTTAGAAAAGGAAAGAGTTCAAGAATGGAAACAGCATGCAGAAACATACAGAACATTCCTCAGGTTTTTTACTTCTGTTCCTATTGTTGGCACATTCTGCTAAACTCAGGGTGATTGCTATAGTTGGAGATGTGGCTAGAGTGTAGCCCTCAGGGTTCATGTGTTGGTGGCTTGGTCACCAGGGTGATGACGTTAAGAGGTGGTGGGACCCTGGGGTCTAGTGAGGGCTCAGAGGTCACGGAAGGTATTTGAACATGGTCAATATAGTTTTTGTGGGAGAAGAGAGAGAGTTCTGAAGAGAGAGCTGTTATAATAAAAGAGCAAGCCTGGCCACTTCCCAACATCTTTGGCTTTTTTTCTGGCAGTATGATCTGCTCACACCTGCCCCTGCCCTTGTGCTGCCAAAATCTGCCACAAGTCCTCACCAGGGCCAAGATCATGCCAGTGCCATGACCAGTATCCCCCAGAATGGTGAGAAAAACAAACCTTCTTTTTACAAGCTTTTCTTTTGGAAGTGTGGTCAAAATATGCAGTGAATATCAACTCTTCTTATAGTAAAAGATACATTGCCATTATCCCCCAGACTGCTTCAAGTACACTTATCCCATTGTCCTTGTCACCTTCTGCTGCAGTTCTGGAAGTCCTCTTTCCCATCTTTATGAAGTGCAATAAAAAATACGGTGCATGCTACTACTGAGTACTATTAAATGATCAAACAGGTCTATAAAACCATTATGGTGTGTCTCCATCCACTGCTTTACTATTCTTGCGGCTGAGACAAAATACCTGACACCCAAAGTTAAAGGAGGAAAGTTTTATTTTGGCTCACACTGTGTAGAGGTTTCAGTCCATACTCAGCTGTCTCCATGGCAAGGTGGCATCGCAAAGGGGCAGCACAGAGGAGAAACAGTCCACAGCAGAGCAGGCAGGAGGCAGCAAGCACAAGCCTCCCTTTCCTTTTATCCCATCAGGGTGGGGCTTCCATTATCCACACTAATACTATGCTAAACCAGTTTAGCTAATACATGCCCTTAATTGCTAACTCAGCATCACACACCCATGATCCATTCACCTCCCAAAAGAACCACCTATGAGTGCATGAAACTTTGCAAGGGACATCTACATACAAACCATAAGATCCATCTTCACTCAGTCTGACACCATGCAACTTCTGGCTTTTCCCCAAAGTCAGAATGACCACAAAAGATAAACTTCTAAATGTACTCAGAACAGGGCAACTAAACATGCTCAGCAAAACAGGCTTCAAGAACTGCTTTAGAAAGTGGCAAGAAAGACAGAATAAGTGTGTTTGGAGAGGGAGCATTTTTAGAGGGAATTAATGGCAATTTGGGTTTTACTGTAATGGTTTTAATTTAAATATTCACTGTATGTTTCAATCATACCTTACATAAATACCTAGCCTCAGGTATTTCATTATATTAATAGAATAATGGATATAATGGCTATCCTTGCACGGATGGCTTTCCTATTGAAATCTCCTCCTAAAACTAATTCTGGAGTTCTAGTTTCCACTAACTATCTAGTTTTAAATTCTGAATGTTCTCTCTTTGACATAACCATCAGCTTATGGCATTATTAGGCATAGGGACAGTATTTAGTGAGTTCAGTAAGGGAGTCTAACTTCACTGAAGCAACAAAGAAAGACAGACAGACCAAAGGCCAAATGAGAGAAGACAGAAAACAGAGTCCTTAGCTAAAAGCACATCAGGAGACTCAAAGCCAAGAGCTATTCTTCAAAGAGAAAAGAGCACTGGCCCTTAGAGAAGGACCTAAGTCTGGACCAAGAGGCAGATATAGAGCTAAAAAAAAGGAGCAGAGGTGTTTAGAGGAAACCTTCCTTTAAGAATGAAACTTTACTCTCCCAGCTCCCACAAGCCTGTGATGGATTGAACTGTACAGTGCAATGAAACACTATTTTGAAATAAATCTTCCTCACTCCATAAAAATGATGGTTTATGACTTGTCTTGCTAATTTTTCATCCATTTAGATTCTGCCTGATGGAGAAAGTTGACACTGTTAAATAATATTAAGTTCTCTGAGCTCTCTGAGCCTGTGGGAAAACAACTGCTATCATATAAATTAAGCCACATTAAATATTTGGGACATGAATGTGAAGAGAGTGTGTCTTTTGTCTTCTTGTTGTCTAGAATAACAGAAACAATTTGGCCTTGGTAAAAACAAAAACAAAAAAAAAAAACAAGAACAAAAAGCTCTGCACCCTGGGGTGGTTATGCTGACTTAAACAAGGTCTGGTATTCCATGGTGCCCTGAGTGAGGGATTTACCAAATACAGGAGGAAAAAGCTACAAAGGCCCAGAGGCTCATCAACAGCAACTTCCAACTTTTCAGATTTTGGTGACCATAGAAGGAGCTTGAGATCTGCAGTTAGTCAGCCTGTATTGAAGTCTCAGTCTGGCTGTTTCAAGCTTCCTAACAGGCAAATCACCAGTTAGTTGATGGAAATGGAGTGCCCACTTCTATCACTACAAAGAAATCATAGTGCTACCTTCCAGCATACTAAGTGTCACATCAAGTGAAAAATAAGGTGCAAAGAGCTCCAACACTAAATGGGAATGTCTCAGGCAGTTTAGTCATCAATACTGTTCCAAGAACCTTTCAGGTAATTCTACTATAAGGCAAAGTTTGGAAGCCAAACTCCTTTCTATCATCACCTGAGGCTACCTTTCAATTTGTTTTTGATGTGTGGCCAACTTCAAAATGAGAAAGATAGACCAGGAAGCCACATCATAATTCCCTGCGCATTCCTCCAGTGAGGTTGGTAGTAGTCACCTGCCCTGGCTCTTGTATCAATGGGGAAGAGTGAACCAGGAGTACAGAAGGTGAGTCTATAGTCAGGAGAGCAAAAAGACTCCTGTCTAAATTCTATGATGAACAGAAATAATGTAAAGAGGGATTCTAATCTCAAACAGAACTGAACAATTCTAGGTTCACCAAAGATAAGCAGATTTCTTCACTGGAGAACAACTCAAAACCTTGAGTCAAAGTAGGATTATGGATCTGCTGGCGGAGACTGTAGCTGGATATCCTTTGTTTTCTCAGAGCATTTCAAAGACTAGGAAGTCACGGAATACACTTTGAGAACACTACAGCAGTGTTGAGATTTCTGTCCTACAGAAGAAACCAGACAAAATCTAGCAACATATTTGGTTGTGGAGATCAGCAGGCTATTACTGGCATCTGCAGAGACCAGGGACACTGGAAAATGTCATACAATTCAAGGACAGTCTCCATTACAAAGCCCCAACTGGCAACAGTGGCACCATTGTATAGCCATGGACCTCCTCTTCCCATGGACCTCTCCCCATCCTCAGAAACAGATGATGATTAGATGACAAAGAAAGATTTAAAAGAGAATAGAAGAAGAAGAGGAAAAGAGGAAGAAAAAGAGATGAAACAAAAAGAGAGGGTGGAAATAAGAGGTTGGGGAAAAGGAAAGAAGAAAAAGCAGCCAGCTTCCTAACTGCCAGAAATTGGAAGCCACAAATAGGTCCTTAAGAAACCAAATGGGTAAATAAAGTGTGGTATATCTAAACAATGCAATAGCATTCTGCACTAACAAGAAATGAGCTATCAACCCATGAAAAGACACAAAGGAAAATGCATATTCACGGGGGAAAAGCCAATCTGAAAAGGCTACCAACTGAATAATTCGAACTATATGAGATTCTGGAAAAGGCAGAACTGTGCAGATGGTGGAAAGATCAGTGGTTTCCAGGGACTTGGGGGTGGGGGGTGAATAAAGGGAACACGGAGATATGTAGGACAGTGAGATGATCGGTGTGATTGTACAGTTGTGAGTACATCATACATTTGTCTGAACCCAATGCACACCAAAAGCGAATCCTAATACAAGCTATGGCTTTGGCTGGTAATGATGTCAGTGTAGATTCAACAGTTTTAACAAATGTTCCTCTCTGATGGGGGACGCTGATAGTGGAAGGGGCTGTGCTATGTCGGGGCAGAAATACATCCAGAATTCTCTCCTTTCATCTCAGCTTTGCTATATATTAAAATTTCTCTAAAATAAAAGCTTTTTTTTTTTTTTAAGAAAAGAAGGAAAAAGAAGCAAGAGTGGCAAGCTAGTGTTGGCTGCCCCCAGCCTCCAAGCCTTTATTGCTTCTGTGAGTTCAGGAGGCTGCGAGTGCGAGCTGGTGGGCCGTGGCCAGGGAGACAGCAAAGGCAGGGGACTCTCTTTTGCCCGGTGGATGTTCTGTGCCTGAATCCGGGGTCCTTCTTTGCAACGAAGGCCTCAGACCCTGCTGGGCTTCTTGGGGTCCTTGTTCTTGGCCGGCATGAAGGCGTACAGCTCCTCAATGAGCATCTCCATGCGGGCGGTGACCTCGGTCACCGTGTCGATGACCAGCCGCTGCTGCAGCTTCAACTTGTTGTTCTCCCACAAGGCCTTGTTCTCCTCTTGGAAGGCGCGATGCTCCTCTCGCAGCACGTGCAGGGCTCTGTTCTCCTCCTGCAGGAGCCGGTTCTCCTCGCGCAGGGTCTGCAGCGCCTGGCCCATCTCTCTCAGCAGCTGCAACGGCCCGGGGGCTGCCTTACCCTCCTCCTCCCGGGACGGCCCCGAAGAGCCGCCGATCAGCTCCCGCAGGGCGCGCAGCGTCTGGGCGTCCTCCTGCGGGGTCGCGGGACCCTTGGGCTCCTCGAAGGGGGAGGAGAGGCCCGGGCTCTGGTCGGGCAGCAGTCCCGGGCTATGGGGCTCCTCGTGCGGAGAGGGGCCCGGCGCGCTGCCCTCCGCGGCAGCCGTCTTGTCCTCCACCCGGGCCCAGTAGGCCTGGCTCTGCGCCAGCAGCTGCTGCAGCGTGCGGTTCTCCTCCCGCAGCAGCTGAAGCGCGCTGTTCTCCCTGCTGCGCTGCGCGGCCGCGGGCTCCTTCTGCGCCGCCTCGGGCGACGCGCTGTCCTGGTGCAGCAGAGGCGACGGGGGCTGGCTGTCGTCGCAGCCCAGCGCGGCCTTGTGCTCCTCCCAGAAGACCTGCAGGAGCTTGTTCTCCCTGCGGAGCGCCCGGTTCTCCTCGCGCAGGGCCCGGTTCTCCTCACGCAGGCACCGGCTCTCCTCCTGCAGCAGGTGCTCCTTCGCCAGCCTCTTGTGGTGCAGCTTGTGGTGCAAGGAGGAGGAGGGGAAGTGCGGGGACTGTGCCCGGTAGTTCTCGTTCACCCAGCGCCCGTCCTGGAACACAAACATCTCATCGCTGAGCTGCACGCGGGGAGGGTTGTAGTCCAGCTCCAGGTCGGCCTGGGAGGTGGGGCGCTCCATGGAGTCGAAGGGCGCAGAGGAGAAGCGGTTGAGCGGGTAGGAGTGCTGGCTGACGACCCGGCGGCTCAGCACGGGCACAGCGGCCTGGCGCGAGCATCGAGGGGTGCTGTACAGGTTGTGGAGCCTCAGGTAGGGCTCGGCCGTGCCCCTCTGCGGAGAGAACAGCGAGCAGCGTTAGCGGTTAACCGAGGCGCCCACGGGGGTGGAGCAAAGGGCCAGGACACTGCAGTGAGCCGTGTGCGGCAGTCCGGCCTGGCCACGGTGCGCGCTTTTGCCTCTTAGGGGCCTCACAGAGCAGTATGTCAATGTGTACTATTCCAACTAGCTCTACTCTATAAAGTCCCCAGAAACACTGACTTAGGTTCCTGCAAGCCTCTGGTCACACGTTTTTGCCAGCTAATCACTAAGTAACCTTTTTTACATGTGTGTGTTTAACGACACGTAATTAACATGTATGATTGATTCATTAACGGTGAGTGCACCATCAACCTCTGTCACTCATATCTGAACGCTCATCTAGCACGAATTTCCTCCACAAGGCACGTCCCAGCCCTCTTGTGATCTGGGAGCACCGGACCCTTGGGCAGCACTACACGTGGGAGCCATTTTCAACAGTGAAATTGCCAACAAAAACACAAACAATTCCAAAACGTGGCACTAGTAAACTCTGAAAAGGATACTGTTTCCAAGGGCTCAAACAAGAGAGCTTCTCAGCTGGAGACATACCACCACCCTGTGCAGGAATAACACTGGCTATGAAAGCGCTTTGGATGTGATACTTGGGTTATATATTTTAGTGAGTAGGCAAATTCACAAATATAAAATCTGTTCTGGACTCAGAACCGAACCAAGGTACCGACCGACAAACACCGGAGCACACGGATCACCAATTGAGATTTTAGAATGAGCCTTTATTAGCTGGCCAGCGACTGCCTGACAGCCTCCACGCAGGGTAGGATCAGGTCAGCAGCAAACCAGGTGTGAGAGCAGCTTTTAAGCCAAAAAACCACATCCTGCTTGGCAAGTGAACTCTTTGTGAAGCAGTCTTCCCAGAAACTATAGAAACTTTAGGAAACTTACAAGAAGGGAACGATATGTCTCAGGGAGTTTCGAGGAGTGGCTAGAATGTGGAACGAAGCAGGTGGGAGAATAGGGTAATCAATAATCTTTTTTCCTCATGTTCTTTGTGAGGCCATGCATGTCCCTTGTGAGGCCTTTACATTCCCCACTGATTTTAGGAAGGAATCAAATCCTTGATTCCCTTGTGTCATGTGACCGGGCCAGGCTCCGGTCATGAGTCCAAGCATGTTAATAGAATCAGTCCATTGTAGAATCTATGACAGGTTATGGCACCGTGTTCCAGGATGGCATCTACAATGGTGGTTGATGACCTGTCAATATACAAGCATACCCTTGTCCCATGTTATTAATTGAACTGGAACACCTTGTTATTATTATTAGTATTATTTATCATTTATCTAATAGCTTGTACTTATATTTTTCTGTTGGTTGTTCAAGACCAAGTTAAAGTGAGACCTGTATTAATTAATATTAATTTTTTTTCTATCAAGGTCTGTTAACTCTCCTCAGGATTTACCTTGGAACCATGTGCAGTGCCTCTTAGCATTTCTGTCAGTGCCAGCCATCTGGATGAGTCACAGCCATTGCTTGACCAAGTTGCTTTCTTTGAAAGCTCGGCAAACTGTTTTCTCCTGGTGACTCTCCTTAGGCACATTACACTGTATAATCATTTTCCTCTGTGGTCCCATAATCTCCTTGATCAGAAAATCAGGGACTAAACTAGTTGAGTGATGTGGCAGCAGAGGTTCTCTTATGTCCTGAGTCCTATTTGACCTTGGAGGGCTTTGGCCAAAATATTGGTGTCCTCTTAGCCCAATTTATCTCTCTAATTTTTGGTCTCCAAACCTCAGTTGTTAAACATCCACCAGAAAATATTAATGACAGTACATTGCAAGCACCTTGAAATGTAAAGTATAACCAGAGAACTATTATTTTTTTATACATCATGGATGTTCTAGTAGTTGAATCTCTGTGGAATGTTAACGGACAACAATCATATAGTTTTACAAGGAAAACTGGTAGTCAAAAATTATACATAGTATCATTATATAATAAGCATGATGACATTTTTGTAGCACAATAGAATAGCCCTTTTAGTTATTATCCTTACCTAATACATATGGAGCTTTTATCTAACTTGTCTTCAAACAGGATGTCATTTAAGAAATTTGTAACATTGTCTGAGCTGTTTAATATCTAAGCATCTCTAAATGTAGTGGCATATACATAGTATATATACCACATAAGCTTTTGTTAAAAAAATTTTTCAAATGATGACCCATGAACCTCTTATAATTATAAATATCTGGAGCACAAGAGAAAAGGCAGATGTCTAACATTATATAAACAGTTCTAGTTTTACATTTTAGAATACTGTACATTTTGAAGGTGTAAATACATTTAATACACCATGAAATTAGCAATAACAAGTTGTCACTATTTTTTCTTAAATTTAGTTTGGTATCAATAGCATCTTTTAACCAGAAAACCTTATTGTCTTATTTTTTTAACTTTCTGACAATGACCAATATAAACATATCACAATAATATTTTGAACAGTATATATTGTTGTGTCTCCCATAAGGCTATGGAGATTATCAGGGCTCTTTATTAATGAACAAAAACTGGTTAATGTTATTCCAGGCAGCTGCTTTTTTTTTTATTTATCAATTGGAGTCCTATCTAACAATCTCTCTCCACCCAAGGGATTTTTATTTAATTATCTTAACCCATTTTTTTTTATGTTCAATGAACATCTAATCAGAATTTGACATGTCAGTTTTTGTACAATGAGAGACTCTCAAATCATAATACATAGAACAATATTTATAAAAAATATTTATACATTTATAAAACCAATTTTAACATAATTTTGATCAGCCGGCAATGTGGTAGAAGCAAATCTTTACATATAAGCCAAATTAGATTACAGACAATTACCTCAAAAATCAAAAAAAAATACAAAAAGAGAAATTTGTTGAGCTCAAGTAAAACAGCTGTTTACAGATCTGACAGAGAGACAAACAAACAAAACACATATACAAGACAATTTACTTATAAACTTAGAGTCACTCAAATATTGTTTTGGCCATACTGAATTATAAGTTTGTAATTATAAGTAGTCAGAGCTTTATTTTTTTATTTTGTCTTCGGAATACCAGCAACTTTTATGTCCCTTAATGTAGCTTTCAGCTTAATCACGTGCACATACACATTGTCACTTATTCAGACCTTGTTTCAAGTGTTCTTGCTTAAACTTTTATTTTTTGTCCTGAAACGAATTTCTGCAAGCTCTATCAGCTGGGACAAGTTTATCTCTGTAATACCTTTCAGTTTTTGCAGCTTGTGACACTTTTGCCACCTTGTAGGTCAGTGGGATGAGGAGCTACAGAAAGAAGCCTCTTTTTTGAAGCCTGATGATTTTTTTTCTGCAGTTACCTTTAAGAAATTTTTTTTTTTTTTTTTGAGAAATCAAAGTTTTAACATCTGTTGACAGTCACCCCAGGTGGGGCAGTGAATCTCAAACATCACTTTTAGCAAACTGATAGAAACCCAAGTTTACTCTATAAGGAGGGGGTTTGAAGTTTTCCAGTTGCACAACGAGGATTTCCTCCCAACTTCATTACAGGAGGCTGCCAGAGAGGCAAGACTGGGATGAAACCTGAGGAAGAGACTCCTTCATCTGAGTCTGCTAGAGGCTAGGAGAAAGGCTGCCTGTATGGGCAGACCCCATAACAGAAATAGTTTAACGCAATAGCAGTGACTCCGTGGGGGTCAGGATCTTTTTAAGCCTTCAAGTAAACAACTCCCAGAGGTAGAAAAGGCCGGAGGAGGGCGATCAGGGCCCCTCCCACCCAAGCAGCAGATTCAGTTGTAACCTGAGCACGCCGGCACACCAAGGAATGCAAGCACATAGAACAAACGATTCAAACAGACAGACAGGACAAAATCCCGGGAAAGATAATTTAGTTTTTCTCTGACTAGTTCTGCCAATTCAAATTGGAGACTGGCTTGAAAGGCAACAAATAAAAAGTCAAATTTTTTTCTCAGCGCTTGCCAGAAAGACTAACACACCCCTCGCTCAGCTCCCGCTGGGAGGGTGAAGGCTGCACTGCGCTGCAGTGCGCCGCGTCATGCCCCTCTCCCGACTCCCGGAGAGGGCAGAAACCAAAACTGCCACCCAGGTCTGGGGGCCTAACAAACTGGAGAGCTAGCAACAGAGCTCTCTCCCAAGCAAGCCCAGCCTCGGGAAAAATTGGAAGCCAATTAAAATCTTACCCAGTTGGAGGTTTAGAACTCTGTCCTTCCTGGCCACAGTCTCCAGGTCTTAGCCTCCCCCAGATGGCGAGAGCTGAATTCAGCTGGGGCGCCCAGCCATTCAGGAAAGGGCTAGGGGATCTGGAGGCCGGGGCCCCCTCAAAAGAGGATCTGCCTGCAGAATATCCCGGGAAGCCACCAAATGTCAGGAAAGTGGTTTAGAACACACTGAAGCAGCGTAAGAGACATGGAAGCAGACTGACCCATTGGGACAAACAGAACAAAAACAGACAAGGGCAGGACAAAGCAAAACCAAAACCAAAGTCTCTCCGGCACTTAAAGGCATGTCTGCCATCTGGGAGATCCAAACGGGGCACCCCACAAACAAATAAACAAACTCTTACCAGTAAGAAGACAAATGGCTCTGGGTCGAATAGAAAGAATTTAGTCTTTACCCTAGGCAGGGAAGCCTGTCGGGGTCGAGGCACATCTTCTTGAGAAGCCCCCTGACAGGTGGCTGCCAGGGGTAAAGTGATCCGGCTCGGTTGCGCCCCCTGTAGGGCCTCTCGGTGGGACCTCCAAATGTTCTGGACTCAGAACTGAACCAAGGTACCGACTGACAAACACCAGAGCACACGGATCGCCAATTGAGATTTTAGAATGAGCCTTTATTAGCTGGCCAGCGACTGCCTGACAGCCTCCACGCAGGGTAGGATCAGGTCAGCAGCAAACCAGGTGTGAGAGCAGCTTTTAAGCCAAAAAACCACATCCTGCTTGGCAAGTGAACTCTTTGTGAAGCAGTCTTCCCAGAA